GGTCCAGGGCCCGGCAGGCTCTCGCCCAGCCCTGGCTCGCTGTGCCTTCCTGAGCTTGTCCCCTGCTCTGAACGGCACGCCCACGGAGAGCGCGTTCAGGATCGCCTGTGGAGACCGCGTGGCAGTTACACAGGCAACTGGTATTTTAAAAGCCCAGACCCCCAACTCCGCACGTCTGCGCACAACCTGAGACCGCGCTGCTAGATGTGGCGCCCAGCGTGAGCTGCACACGGCAAAGCGAGCTACTGATAGGCCTTCGGGTGCACAGATGCAGAGCACTGGCCACCCGGGTGGGAGGGTGAGGAGCAGAGCAGCTCAATGAAAGCTGCCCCCACGTGGACCACAGCACAGAGATCAGCCACCAGCGCCCTGCTGGGAGGAAAGAGGAGGGGACACCACAGTCCAGGGCTGGGTCACCTGAGGAAGCTTGGGCACAGAGGTGTGGCGGATGGAGGTTGACTCCAGAAAAGGGTAGAGACCCGGCCTTTCCGTCCTCCTTCCCACCAGTCTCCACCAGGGGCTCCCATTGAGGGGAACCCCCGGAATGCAGCCTGCAGGGGCCAGGCCTTTCCCCCAGCCCCCTCCCCACCCACCCCCCACAATTCCGAGTAGGCACAGCAAGGGGAGGGACAGCTCTAGCAGGTTCCAGGGGACTGTCACCCAGAACAAGGGAATAAAGAGTATGTTCTTACCTGGAGAACGGGGAGCTCCACCGTCCCGAGGAAACCAGGAGGGGACAGGAAGCCCTGGGCCCAGCCATGCTCAGGACAGAGGCTTCAGGGGGACCCGAGTCAGGGGAACTTCTGCTCCACTGCAGAGGGAGCCGTCTTGCAGCAGCAGATGGTGATCCTACCGGGGCCTCCACAGATGGTGGCAGCTACTAGCCGTGTGCTGGGCTCAGTACAAAGTTCTCCCAAGTGACCAGAGCGTGGGCTCCACTGGGAGGCAGCAAGCTCTCCGCCTCAGCCAGGGGCTCGGCGGAGTCCATTCTTGACCTAGAGTCTGCTGCCATTCTGAACCAGCTTCTGCTTTGGTAGTGACAAAGAAGGTCCAGGAACACAAAGGGTTTTGTGTCACCCGTTGTACTTCTACCCTTAACAGGCTGCGAATTCCTCACAGGCAGAAACATGTTGGTGTATCTGCCTGAATTTAAGCAAATAATCTATGAAAATCTGGGTTTTTATTTTTTTTATCAAAACCAAATAAAAAGCAACAACAAACAATTCCTGCCCCCAAAAAAAAAGAAAAGCAAAAAACCAAAACCTATTGCAGAAGTCCTTTAAGCAGTAATTTTCTCTAGAACATTTTAAATATGATTTCAGACACGTACAATTTTCTCTGAAATGTTTATTATCTAGTAGAGAAGGGAAAGAAATCAATGCGGACGATATGCAAATAAAGAGCCACGCCCACCTGCCACCTTAGCTCCAGTGAACGACCCCAGGGCTTTAAGCGGCTTGTGACAGCAGCACACAGTAGATAAAGGAATATCCTCAATTGAAAGACACCCCCGCCCGGTTCATCCAATGACCATAATAAGGCTTAAGTCTGTGGCTGCATATGGCGACTCTGCTCCACAGGTTACCTGTTCCCTTTCCCTGATGTGCCCGAGGGTCCACTAAAACAGGCTTTCTAGCTTTCTTCTCCAAGAGATCACACCCACCACCCTCTGCCTCTCTTTTCCTGGGCTTTACAGTAGCTGGACAAGTGAAGGAAGCCGGAATCTTCCCAGGATTCTCGAGCCCCGCCTCGCACCCCGAATGCCCCTGTTCCCACCTAGTCCCCGGTCGGCGTGCCTGGGAAACATCTTTAAGCCCTCTCGTTCCCTCCGGGCCTCATAAAGACAACGTTCTCTCTTGGCAACCTCATGTTACACAATGTATGTGCCGTTAATTAAGTCAGTGAATGGCAGTGATAAGCCCAGTGGCCACAAATGGCACCGGGAGTAAACAAGTCTAGGTACACGTGCAGCTGTGTGCAGAAGAGGGCTGGGCTGGCTGGAGTCGCACACAAGACCCGACCCATCTGCTAACCTAGCCGACCAATGAAAGGGAGGTCCATTTAAAGGGCACTGAAGAAAGAGGTGCCTCAAGATTAAAACGCGCTTAGACAGAAGTCAGGGAGCTCCTTCAGGTATCCCCTGATTGCATCCAGTTGTCCGCTCACTCTCTCATTCAGCCACGTCATCATTAGACACAGTGCACACACGGGTTGATTGGCAGGGCCAGTATCATGTGCCCACTTTGTGAATGGAGAGTCCAAGGCTCAGCCAGGTGTCCACTGGGAAGCGAGAGAGCCAGGCCTCAGCCCAGATCCCCGGACGGCAGACCCTACCTGCCCTCTACTGCGCAGCGCTCTGGGGTTGGGACTGGTGGCTCCTGGGGGAGCAGGCTCTCCAGTGCAGGGCGGGGTGCCGAGCAGCAGCTGGCGGGCAGACGGGAGAAGGACAGACACATGGAGTGGAAGTCTGAGTGGGGGCACTGACAGCACAGAGGAGGCACATCAGGGGGACTCTGAAGGGAAATGAGATAAGGGCTAATTGAGAGGGATGAGCTGGGAAGTCACCACTGACCACCCAACCCCCAGGGGCTAGCGAGGGTGGGAACCGGTAGGACCCAAGGCCTGAGGAGGCAGGAGGCCGCTGGAGCCTCATCAGGGTCTCCTCCCCAGGCCAGAGGGCACTCAGGCCCCTGAGCCTTCCTCTTGACCTCCGCCCCTGGCCGGGCTTCCGCCTGCTGGGGCAGCTTTATTTAGCAGAGGATCCTGGGAAGGCTGCCTTGAGTCCCACCCTTGGCCTCGCCTCCTAGTAACTTCCCATCCAGGGAGCCCCCTCTGGGCCTGCGGCTATAAAGCCCCCTCTGGTCTGCTGCTTGGAGCTGAGCTCAGCCTCTCTGCTCTACTGCCTTGTCTTGAGTGAAGGGTCAGCTCTATTCTCTAACTAGAGAATGATTTCTGTGTTACAGGTCGGCCCAGCAGGAGCTGTGGCCAGGGAAGGACCTGCATGACCCGGCCCCTGGAGAACCTCAGCCCAAGGCAGGGAGAGGGGGATACAGTGGGCAATGCCTCGCCCCCATCTGCTGATGGTGCCCCCATTGGCTGAAACCAACAGGCCCCACCTCCTGCAGTTTCCTCCCCCTGGCACTAGTCCTCGGATCATGGACCACTGGATGGATTAATCCAGTCACTTCCCCCAATTCCCCTGAACACTGCTGCACTGGGGACCCACCTTCAACACATGAGCCTTGGGGGACACTCCAGATTCAGGATCTCATAGTGAGAATTATTTTTTACTTTAAAATGTGAAGAACTCATGGAGGTGGGGTGTTGCTCGGTTGCAGGGCGCCTGCTGAGCACGCACAGGCCCTGGGGTCAGTTTCTAACAGGAAGAAAGAAAAGAGAAAGAAATGAATCTCTGAGACTGACCCGGGAGGGTGTGCTTGGGCAGGGAGAGGGCATGGCAGGGCGGTACTGGTGCCAGCCTGCCAAGATGATCCGAAGGACAGGGAAGGGTCAGGGAGCCCATTCCCAGGCCAGGGCAGGCCAGCTCTCTCACTGTCCAGAAGGTGACATCTAGGCCAGAAGAGGGACGGCTCTCCAGGGATCCAGGTTCGAGGCAGTGCCTATGTGGTGGGACTGTGGTCTTCAGTCCGCTCCGGCGGTGGCTTGGTGAAGGGCACCAGACTCCGTGATGTGCCCTCTAGGGACCCACCCTCTGCACAGCCCAGAGGATGGCAGTGTGGGGTAGCGCCCACAGGCCACGCTTGACCGGCGGAGGGGTGGGAGCCACTACCAGACGTGCCCCCTTCCGTTCAGGTGGGCATCTTCATTGGCAGAAGCTCTGGAAGGGCGCTGGGGAGGAAGCGCTCCCAGGGCCAGGGCCTCTGGACCTGGGGTGCTCAACCGTGTGAACTCTGGGCCTGAGGGCTTCTCCCCAGACCCACAGAAGTCGGCTCCAGGGCTGGACGTCCAGGCTAATTAACCCTGAGAGCGGCTGATTAACCCCCGACAGGTTCGCAGCTCGGTACCCCAACTCTCCCAGCCTGGCGTGGGGTGCTCTGAGGTGTAGGCCCCCCTGCCTCTCAGACTCGCCTGTGGGAGGAAGTGCTTCCGGCACTTTCCAAATTGACTTCTTGAACTTGAATCCCAGCCTCAGGATCCGCTTTGGGGGTAACACGGACTAAGGAAAGAAGGCTTGGTGGGGGCAGGGGTCACTGCAGGCCAAGACCACCGCGGTCAGCCACGGTCCTCCCGTTCACTTCCTTGCTCCCATAGAGCCTTGGACGTCAGGGTCCAAGCCCTAGGGTCTGAGATGGGGACCCCGCACCGTGGTGTATTCAGGGAGGACCCTCAGGGGACCCTGTAAGGAGAGGAGGGGACAGCAGGGCCGGGAGAGCCGCTGGGTCCAGCTCAGCCTCATCTCATCGCTGCAGCTTACGGGAAGGGGCTGGAAAGCGCTAGCAACCCTCGAGGCCCATAGCGTCACATGGAGGGTGAGGGTTGGGAGCTCGGAGCTTCACCTTCACCAAGGATTTCCTTGTGGAATTCAAAATGTCGATGCTTCCACCACCCGACACCAGATACCCAGCCAGGG